ATGAATTACGCATTGAATTACGGAATGAATTACGGAACCCGTGATAATTAATACCGATTTTTTTTAGTTTAGTTTATACAATTAATAACGAACTTTTATTTTAATTTATATAATTAATACTGGATTTGACGTTGGGCATTAATACGGATAAACTTTGTCAATGAGATAAAGCATTTAAAAGTTAATGACAAAACAATGTGGAGGATGTTCAACTGACAATTGTCAAATCACTTAGAGTGGGTAGAAATTTCACATCCTCACCCCAACTCCAAGCAATTAATATGTGCTTTTCAGTGATGGCATTTGGTCTCTGAATTTTATTGTTCTATTCTTGGCTGACACACGTCAGCGAAAAAGAACGCTTGCTGTTGAATGCGTTAGACACAAAGAAATAATTGCAAGTTCTAGATGTAATGGTAATAATCAACCTACGATAACAGACACGGTGGCAATGATATATGCCGATATATTGGGCGCTTTGAGGTTCATAAAATAAACAGCGAGTGCGTATCGCAAATATTTCTCACCGTTTTGATCTTGTTTCTGAAGGAGTGCTTATTTGCGCTGACTTTGTCATAAATGGATTGGTAGTAAATTGGTGGTTAGCGAGATAGTCTCGCAGACCATAATTAACGCGATCGATTTTTGTAGGGTATTCCGCCGTTGTAGCATTGATTTGGAGGAAAATATTTGAATTCGTTTGGAATTCGAACTCGCCTCTATCCATTATAGCATAGGTACCTTCATGAGATCACTAAAAAAGAGTATAGCATGATGAAAAAAACGCCAAACTTGACGAAAACAAAACTTTATCATCTAAATATTTATGTTATTATTAAGAGGAAAGATCAAAGTATTTTGGTGGTATTTTTTTACATTTTTTAATTGTTCCTAGCACGTCCAAAATATTCGTTAAAAATCTTGTTTCTTTTAGTCAGCAAAATTGACTGATAATCGATATCATGACTTTTTTTTCCAATTTATAAAAAAAAAAAGAAAATCACAGTTTGAAATTCTTTTAAAAATTAATTATAATTTTTTTCAAAACTTATTTTAAGAAAATCAGAAATTTTAATGTTTATTTAGAATATTTTGAACCAAGCTTAACTTAGTTTCTGCGCCGAAAGGACATAGTTTAAAAATAAAACAAAGCAGGTCATAACCTTTCGCGTCACTTGACAAGGTGATGAAAGACAATAAAAATATATTATAATTAAAGAAATAACAAATAATTGTATTTAAAATTCAGTATTTAATTTAAATAGTAGACAGAAACTCAATCCACGTGACGTTTTTTATTGCACGCATGATACTTCCGGTCTTCCGTAGATTTGATTTACAGTTTTATTATTGACACAAATTGTATTTTTTTATATACTGTTGTTCGTTAGTTTGTAAAAAGCTTTGAAAAGTATAATTTGTAAATGTATATCTACTCAATAACAACATTCGTTCAATTTTACAAATTTTCCCGTAATTTTAGAAGAATTAAAAACTTAAAAACATAATGTAGAAATAATAAAATATTTCAGAAATATCAAATAATTATTTTAAAAATTCATTTGTTATCGAAATATCTTTTTGCTTTCATACAATATTGTCCATATTTATTGAAATAAATAAAAGAAATTAAAAGCTTAAATAATATTTTTGTTTTATTGAGTTTTGTATGTTACAATTCAGAGACGATTTTCATGTAGAGGTTGTCCAACTAAAAAACAAAAAAACAAAAAAATCATGATTTGGTTTTCTCAAAGCCTTGTGCTTTTAACTAATATAATCACTAATCTTCCCAAAATTGAAATTATAGAGTTTTCGTTCAATTAGTTATGGGGTGGGGTAATACATATGAAAAAAAAATGCCATTACTTTAAAAAAGAAAACACATATTTATAAGTTCCATCATTTGTGAATAGTTTCTGAAAATTTCATTAAAATTCGACAATTTTTTTTTATTTTTGGAAGATTTTCAAAATTAATGTCTCTCATACAGAAAAAAAATAACGTGCTAAAATTTTATGTTATTTTACTAGTTCCGGTGATACAAAGTGAAACAAGGTTTTTTTTTTTAATCAAAACGTTCTAAAAAGAAGGAATTTTTTTTTTAAAATAATTAAAAAATACTTTGATCTTTTTTCTTAATAATAAGATAAACATTTAATCGCTAAAATTTTGTTTTCGTCAAGCTTGGCGTCTTTTTCATCATGCTATGCTCTTTTTTAGCGATCTCACGAAGGTACCTAATTATAACATCAGCGTATATCGGACTATAATAAGATTATAAAATAGTAAAAGAATGCAAATAATAAGCTGAAGAAGTTTTTTTTTTTTTAATTCTTTTAATAGATAAAAGTATCAAATTAATTTAAAATTAAAAAAAATATATATATATGTAAAAGTTTACACGGGTGGGGTATTGTCTAGTGGCTCAGGGTGCGAAATAAGGAAGCAGAGTTTCGATTTCCGGTCGGGTTAGCTATATTCACTTTCGTGCAAATACCCTTGGGAAAGCTACGGATCCATTGGCTAAATAGCAGCGCAAAGTGAGTTCTCTTGGCGGGATTAGCAACCAGTCTAATTGGTAACCATTGTAGGAGAAGGATAACTCTGAATTCAAAACTGTATATAGCCCTAAATGGTAAGGTCACGGTGTCAACGATGACTGTAATCTCGACTGCCATCCATCCTTGAGTGCACCGGCTTATTATTATTATGAAGTATGAACGTATTTATTTCTGTGACAGGTTGGTGCAAAAATAATGTCGTTTTCTCACATATGTTACTTTTATATATGATTTCTGAATTAATTCATTGATATATATATATATATATATAGCCATGTTATATATCATTTTGAAGCGCGTTTTTCGCTCTATCGAATCGTGTTATTCGTTACCGTTCTCAATCTCTTCCTTCATTTTTTTTGCAGGCTTTTCGACAGCATGGATAAAATTCAAATCCGCACGATTTTCTTGTTCCAGTTCAGACGAGGCCGAAAAGCTGCCGAGACAGCTCGTGATATCAATGATGCGTTTGGCCCAGGAACCACTAACGAACGTATGGCACAACGGTGGTTCAAGAAATTTCGCAATGGTAACGAGAGCCTCGAAGATGAAGACGGTCGCGGCCGGCCGACTGCGGTTGATAACGAACATTTGAAAGCCTTAATTGAAGCCGATTCTCGCAAAACCACACGAGAAGTTGCTGTTGAACTCGAGGTCGACCATTCAACAGTCGTTCGCCATTTAAAGCAAATAGGGAAGTCAAAAAAGTTGGATAAATGGGTGCCGCATGAATTGTTTTGAGGTGTCTTCTATGCTCCTTCTGCGCAACAAAAACGACCCATTTCTCGAGCGGATTGTGACGTGTGATGAGAAGTGGATCCTCTACGACAACCGGCGACGTTCGGCACAGTGGTTGGATGCCAGAGAAGCTCCACAACACTTCCTGAAGCCGAAATTGCACAAAAAAAAAGGTTATGGTGACTGTTTGGTGGTCTGCGGCCGGTCTCATCCATCACAGCTTCTTGAATCCGGGCGAAGCGATTACGGCGGAGAAGTACTGCCGACAAATTGACGAAATGCACCAGATGCTCCAACTTATGTGCCCGAGATTGGTCAATATGAAGGGACCAATTCTCCTCCATGACAACGCTCGCCCGCATGTTGCTCAACTGACCCTGCAGAAGCTGAACAGGTGGGCTACGAGACTCTGCCTCATCCGCCATATTCACCGGACCTCTCGCCCACCGATTATCACTTTTTCAAGCATCTCGACAACTTCCTGCGCGAAAAATGCTTCAAAAGCCGAGATGATGCCGAATAAACTTGTTTCTCGTTGGCAAAAATCTGTCGATTCTAATGGTTCTTATTTCGATTAATAAAGTTTATTATGAAAGGAGTTATGATCTTTTGAAGTTGAACGTCAAAAAACGACATTATTTTTGCACCAACCTAATATTTCAGCCATTGTTGAAATTATTGGACATCTGAATTACGAAACAGTCGAATAAAAATGATAAACAGGTGAAGAAGTCCCAATAAACTCCAGGAGGGCTAGTTAAAAATAGAATCATTAACAAACGATGAGGAGGGTGTCTATTTGAAAGTGTAGGTTATCAGGTAATCTGTTTGGTGCAAAGCATTACACACTTCCCACGAAAAATCCCTGCCTATCGAAAGGTTATCATTTCTAAAGTATATTCTGAGTATTTCTTCTACGAATACTGACTCTGCAAATCTTGCTTAATTTTCTTAACGGACTACTGTGAGTAAATGATTGGTTGAAGTAATTTTCTAGGTGTAGCTTCGTTGTGGCACAAGATGGAAAGTATTGTGGCTTCCAATGAGGATCGAAGTCACTGCTCAGTGGGAATTGATATAGCAAGACAAGCATAACACCATGTCGAAGCGGTTGCGGGTGATTGATTAAGAGTTTTGGCAGACGGCGCAGATTCCTCCTAACCACTAACGATTTAATCCGTTGCTGTACTATATCTCCAAGTTCAGAATGTGTGTGTGTGTGTGTGAGAGAGAGAGAGAGAGAGAGAGAGAAGAGAGAGGGAGAGTGAGTGAGTGAGAAGAAGAAGATATAGAGAGAAAAAGAGGGAGAGAAAAGAGAGAGTGTGGTAATAAAATAAGGACGTCCATATCGCTTGTACCCATCCATAACGATAGTGATTTTCCAAGCGTAGCTTAGATGTAGCACAAGGCCGAAAGTATGGAGCACCCAATGAGGATCGAACACACTATTAAGTCGTAACTGTTTTAGCAAGACAAGCTCGCTAAACATTACACCACGCCGAGGTACCTAAAAGGACTTTTTAAGCGTAGCTTAGATGTGGCACCCAGTGAGGATCGAACTCACTACTCGGTCATAATTGTTCTAGCGAGACAAACTTGCTAACCATTACACCGATTTGAGATACCCAAACCCATCCATCACGATAAAATGAACATTTTTGGTGCTAAAGCTAATTTCGTCAAATAAACCTAATGTTACTATATTACTGAGAAAGAAAGAAAGAAAAAGAGAAAGAAAGAAAGAAAGAAAGAGAGAAGAGAGAGAGAGAGAGAGAGAGAGAAAGAAAGAGGGAGAGAGAGAGTGAATGAGGAGGAGATAAAGAGATAGAGAGTGTGTGGTAATAAAATAATCGTATCCAATCTTCTTCGGAGATTTTTTTGTTGGTAAATCCACCTTTCTTACTTATTACCCATTTCATTATACTTAAATCAATTTTGGGGACATTCTTAAAGCCAATTTTTGTTTTCTTCTTGTTTTTATCTTTATGGTAATAAAATAAGCACATCCCATCTCTCCTCTCACTTGTAACTATCCATAAAAATAAAATAAACTTTTTTTTTGGTCATTTTTCTTTTACAATTTTCAGTGCTGTGTTCTCATCACTAAATAATTTTAAATATTTTGTTTCTTATTTGAGGTTATATCCAGGGCAGTCCTTACATATCTAAAAAAAAGTAATTATAAATAACTATACTATTTATTACCTCACAATATTTCATAGCAGCCTTCCTTCTGCCAAGGTGTTTTCTCATGTCGACACTTGAATGCAGTTGTCATTGTTGAATCTTGTATGATTGTAGCCTTGATTCCTCTTTCACAATTCTTTTTAATGACCTATTTGAAATATTCATTCCTTTTGCCATCTTTCTGCATAGATTTCTCTTCACTCTCTTCTTGAAAGCTTCAATGATTCTCCTGCTATAAAGAGAATTTGGAATTGGATTTGTTGAGGTTGTTTCTCCTCTTGAAACATTTTACAAACAGAAATTCCCTAAACATTCAACTGTTTTATCACCTCACAATATTTCATAGCAGCCATTTTCAATGCAACAATTTGATCACATTTTGTTTGATTCAACATATTTAACATTTTGACTGTTAACAAGATAACTTGTGGCTGATAGTTTTTATTATGACACTGGTCACGAATTATCTCGTTTTTGTAGTCTTGCCATCATGGCTACAACCTTGAGTTTTTTCATTGTTTTTAACACATACAACTGATACCTAGCATCTAAGGCAGGGATTTAAAATTGTACTGGTAACTAAAACCAAATTTTATGGGTAAAATTCATAGAAAATATAACACATACACAAAGTCTTTGAAGAAATTATTATTGCCTAAGTGAGCTGTGGCAATAAAATAAGCACATTCCAGCTCTCTTCTCGTTTGTAACCACTCACTATAATAAAATAAACATTTTCAGCGCTAAAGCTGAATTAGTCAAATAAAGCTTCATAAGGCTCTACTTAAAGTTGTTACTATATTACAGACATACATACCTACAGAGAGAGAGAGAGAACTACGTTCAAACAGCCATATCATTAAAATCGTTTAAAGATATATCATACCTAAAATAATGTTAAATTATCCATAATGGCTGAAAATATATAACCTGCTGCCTAACATCAGTTTTCATTTATATCAAATTGGTATAGACGAAACTCCATCGCTAAGTAGAATGTGCTCAAGACCCAGGTAACCGTCTTTTTGCGTAATAGCCCCCCCCCCTTCGCGAGAAGGCGATAGTCATTACCTGGCGCTGGTGGCGTCTCCAAACTGGGAAGAGCCAAGAGTGTTTAACCAATTTTTGTCCCTCACCATGTACGCGTGAGCTGAAGCCCTTCGACATAGCCTTGTCTGGGGATCTTCTCTGTCCGGAGGCAGAGTTTGGCCAGCACAGCTGGAGACGAATCTTGAACTGCAGGATATCTACCAACCGCCCCACGCGGTCAGATGTAGCACAAGGCCGAATTTACTGTGGGGTATTCGAGCACGTAGACTCGGACAAAAATTCCCCGTAGACCACGTATAAAATGGCGTCAGGTAGCTGTTTCCCGAAACGAGAATCCGCCCTTCGATATAGCCTCATCTGGAGATCCTCTCTGCTCGGAGGCAGAGAGTTTGACCAGTACAGCTGGAGACGAATCTTCAATTGCAGACCAACATACAGTATTTATTATTGTATTTATTTGAATGGGGACATAATCATTATCGCGCGTAGGTATGTTACAACAGTAGGTTTTACCCCTGAAGCATCCCCTGAGATTAACGGAGTTTGGGCAATTTTTTTATACCTAGTTCTATGTTTCGTTGAGGATTTTCACTTATGTCTTTTGTTATGTTTTGTCCGTGTTTTCGTTTGATTGCAATTACATAACGGGATATGCGGGTGGTGTAATGAATTGCTGCTAAGAATGGAAAATCGAAGAAGCGAGTTCGAATTCTTGTCGAGTTCGTTGCATTCAATTAGGCACAAATACTCTTGGGAAATGCATGGCTCCAACCTGATAGTGTGTTGGGATTCAGCCTATAAGAAGGACAACTCTGAATTCAAAACTGTATGCTATCTTGAAGAAGCACATACTATGCAACTAATGAAAGGCTCGTAAAATTCACAAGGACCGATCTTATGGACATGCGATTAGAATCAGTCTATTGTATCATAGCCTGCTCCAACGAGAACACCATCGGCTTTTAATTGAAGCATAATGTATTTCACCCAAAGATATGACTTCAGGAAGATTTTTTTTTAGGGGGGGGGTTCTCGGGAACACTTACACTGAATCAATAGCTGTAAGAAACGTTGGTTCTCTGTGTTGTGCCAGAAGGTTTTTTCTCGTTTGAGCTATTACTACACATTTAAAAAAATCTAGCATTCGTCCATGTATTGAATACAGTTACCATATCTGGTCTGGTGCCCCTGTTGTTCATCGTGAGGTTCTCGACAAAATCCAAAGAACGATCTGCAATGTAATCGATCCTGACCTGGCATCTCGACTCCAGTCATTTTCTCGCAGACGTGATGTGGCTTCCCTCTGTTTATTGATAAAATCCAAAGAAGAAGTCGCAATGCAATCACCCCTGATCTGGCATCTAAGCTTCAGTCACTTTCCTTCCGCCGTAATGTAGCTTCCTTTTGCTTTTTCTATAAATATTTTCATGGACATTGTTCAGATGAGCTTTCCTCTTTGGTATATCGAATTTACAAATTTAAACGCCGTACTAGATGGCTGAATTAGTCAAATAAAGCTTCATAAGCCTCTACTTAAAGTTGTTACTATATTACAGACATACATACCTACAGACAGAGAGAGAGATAACTACGTTCAAACAGCCATATCATTAAAATCGTTTAAAGATATATCATACCTAAAATAATGTTAAATTATCCATAATGGCTGAAAATATATAACCTGCTATACATCTCAGGCATCTTCACGGCAAATGCTTTTATTTTCCCTGGTGCCCCGACTACATGAATTCAAGCGTTTTACTCGGTTGGCATCTAGCTCCCACCCTTTTATTTTAAAACAGTTAAATGTAACTGTCATTTCTACTCCAACAGCATCTTCTCTCGCACTTCCATACAGTAGAACACCCTTCCTCTTATTTCCTTCCCTGATAACTATAATCTTCAAAAATTTAAATGTAACGTCAATCAAGATTTTCTGAAGCCTTGATTCCTGTTCTTCTTTTTATCCTTTCCTCAATCCCCCACCCATATCCAATCTTTTCTTTCACAATCTCTAACCCCCGGCGCACTAGTGGTACTCACGCTTTGCTTGGGGTGAAATGCTTAAAAAATGTAAAATGGCTACAGTTAATTTATTGCACTTCAGGCATCCCCAGGAACAAAATATCGAAAGCTTTATGTTATGGTGTAGAACTATAGAAAGATAACACGGACTCGGAATAAGGTTAAATAGTATATTCCCGGAAACGTAGTACAAAGGTAAATGTGGACTGGAGAGTACTTTCTCTCACTGATGTCCTGACTCACTCATTCACTCACTCGGTGTCTACAACTTGGTGACCCTCACTTGCTGACTCCCTCTTACTCAGAGTTGGTAGCCATATTATATAGATGTGGAAGAGTCCATTTGTAGGTAGGTCCCCACACTTTAATAGTTTTCTCCCTAGTCTCATGAGTTTCCCTCTATAAACACGACCTTGTGCCATAATAAATAGTGGCCGTACGAAAAAAAATATCTACTTGTTATAAAATTTATAATCGTTTAGCAGTTACTTTACATAATGCGACAATGATATTTTTTAAAAAATATTTCACCCCAATCAAGGCAATAAAGCCACTAAGATGCAATAAGAGAAAAAACGCTTTTAAGGAGAGAAAACAATATAAAAAGACATAACATAACGATTGGGACTGCATTTAAATTTTTGAAGATCAAACCTGATTGGAAAGCAAGAAGACAGAAGTGAAATCCCCAAACGAGAAGTGAGAAAGAATAGACTGTTAGCATAGAACTTACGGTTATATCTAGCTGTTTCAACTGTAAAAGGATGAGACCTAGCTGCCCATCTAGTACGGCGTTTAAATTTGTAAATTCGATATACCAAAGAGGAAAGCTCATCAGAACAATGTCCCTGAAAATATTTATAGAGAAAGCAAAAGGAAGCTACATTACGGCGGTAGGAAAGTGACTGAAGCTTAGATGCCAGATCAGGGGTGATTGCATTGCGACTTCTTCTTTGGATTTTATCAATAACCCCTAAAATACAAAGCAAAAGCACCAGACCAGATATGACAGCAATATCTAATTTATGGACGAATGTTGTTGCAGATTCAATATAATATTTCAACTTGATGTCAGATATGTCTGATTATCATTGTCTACATGTCCATTGTGCTTTAAGCATCGTCATTACCCACAGAACTGTTTATTATTTATCCGTGTTTACCGCAGTCAGTACAAACGTATTTTCGTTGACAATGGTAAGCCAAGAATAGAACAATGAAATTCCGAAACTAAATGGCATAATTGGAAAGCGTATCTTAATCGCAACAGATTGCAAAGGACAAAATGAAATCAAGTTGCGAATTTTGATAAAGAAAACGCTACATAATTTATATCGTTTTACGTTTAAATTAAAAATTAGTGAAAACTTTAAGATCTTCTAACTCTGGACATGTTTACCAAATAAAAAAAACAAAAGAAATCTTAATATTTATATCTCAAGTCAAAATTTAAATAAGACTACAATGGTTGATTACAGATCTCACTTTAGAAAACGCGCGCAATATAATAATCGCGAACTTCCAAAAACACACATATATATAAATAGTCATCCAGAGACAGACTGTTTCGCAGCTGCTCAGTGTGGCTAGACATCCGGTTGCCTCTAGCTAGGATCGAAACCCGACTGAATTGGTGTCACGCGGAGATGCTACCGCTAAGTCGTCGGCGTACGGCAGAATGAAGGCGATTTTTAGCGTATTTATTTTTAGATAAACACACACAGTGACCGACAGTGACTCAATTTGCATTTGCCGAAGAGTCTCGCTATGAAATGGACAACGTTCGACAATTATTTTAAGACATTTTTTATGTTTATACGTTCATTTTATAGATACAAATATTTAAGTAAATGCTTTGTTTATAATAAACATTCATTTAGCGGCCTGAATGTCCAAGAAATTCTCATAGAAAATATGTGTCCTCTGACAGGAATCGAACCTGCATCCTATCCGGAACTGTCATATAGCCTGACGTGCCTTAACCGATTGGGCTACAGAGGAGCGTTCGGTTAGCAATGTCGATTTTACTGTTTTTAAACATAATTCTCCATGATTTTCTCTCATTCATTCATATCTGCTCAATGCGTATCCAAATGTAAACAAATGACGTCATACATTATGAAATGGACAAAGTCCGACAATTATTTATGACATTTTATATATATATGAGAAGCTGTGATCCAGCGGAACATAGGCAGACCATCATTATCGATTGCGGAAAACGTCAGCGACAAATGTATCATGATTTTAGACAAATATATATATATATATATATATATATATATATATATATATATATATATTATGAAATGGAAAACGTTCGACAATTATTTTAACACATTTTTTATGTTTATACGTTCATTTTATAGATACAAATATTTAAGTAAATGCTCTGTTTTATAATAAACACTATTAACAACATTTACCGGCCGGAGGACGCATATTTTCTATGACAATTTCTCCGAAATTCCAGCCGGTAAATTTTGTTAATGCTGTTTATTATAAAACAGAGCATTTACTTAAATATTTCTATCTATAAAAAGAACACATAAACATAACAAAATTCATTAATATAATTGTCGAGCAGATATGAATGTACGTGAGAAAATCATGGACAATTGTATTTTAAAAACAGTAAAATCAATCCCGCTAACCAAAACGCTCCTCTGTGGCGAAATCGGCAAAAGAACGTCAGACTATATGACTGTTCCGTGTAGGGTACAGGTTCGATTCCTATCGGGGAACGCATATTTTATATCATAATTTCTCGGACTTTCATTCCAGTAAATGTTCTTAATATTGCTTATTATAAACTGAGCATTACCTTAAATGTTTGTATCTATAAAAAGAACGTATAAATATAAAAAAAATGTTTTTTTTATTTTTATTTATATATATATATATATATATATATATATATATATATATATATATATATATATATATATTTTGCATTGCCGGACAACTCTAATTTTGGTGACTGTCTCTTGTTTATTTCATGTCGATACCATGTGAAGATATCAGTACAAGTAATTTACTATTTTTTTCACAACATACCAATCATTGGTCTGCACCTACTGTTGGGGACTTTAAAAATTGTGATTGTTGCTTCGCACGACCGTTACGCTCTGCCAATACTTCATAAGTAATGACCTATCCCGTTTTGTACGTGTAGAAAGAGGGAAACAGACTCCTTTGTTAACGGCGCCATACGAAAATTGACAAAGGCAATCGCTAAAATTCCATTTACCATAAATAAAATGACATCGTTTGGTGAATTATTTCTGAATGACTATTAAGAGACATGTTCGTAAGACGGGGAGTTGAAAGAAAGAAAGAAAGAAAGAAAGAAAGAAAGAAAGAAAGAAAGAAAAAGAAAAAAGAAAGAAAGAAAAAAGAAAGAAAGAAAAAAAGGTTTGACGTCGTTTACCGATACTTAATAAAATTGGATTATTCCGTTTTCATTGTATAGAAAAACAAACATACACTACTTGGTTTCAGTGAGAAAATGAAAGAAAGAAAGCAATATAGAAAGAAAGAGGGAATGAAAGAAAGAAGGAATGAAAGAAAGAGGGAATGAAAGAAAGAAGGAATGAAAGAAAGAAAGAGGAGATGAAATTTGGGAACTGTTTAACGGCTGTTACAGTGAAATGGAAAAAAGTTTTCAATTTGAAATGATTTCTTTTGTATAGCCAGCATTTACATTTATTGCAATATTTTCTTAAAGTTGTTAAGCTCAAGTATTTAACGATGTGATAGGGGAATTTATACGGATATTTTGTCGTAGAACTCGCCATGAGCTTATTCAATCATTAACTTAAGAATTAAGATTCATCAGAAATTTAAAATAGGAAAACTGTGAAATTTTCACGGGTCAATCTAGTAAATTCTCAGTTCGATATTTAACCCTTAACTTAAAGCAAATAAGTCGAACAAGCCTGACGTCTCACCGTTGTTTTAGCCTGTTACTATGGAATGACAGTCATCAAAACGTCTTTACCCTTTAATAGAACACTAGAGATTGTCTTGTCCGAAGTTACGAAAAAATAAGAAAAATTTTTTCATCTAATGTAAGAGATGTTTTCATCGCTTTTTCCTGCTACGAGACGCAAACGTATGTTTCATTAATGAGGTTGTCTCTGTCTATTTATTTTTGGAGTTTTCAAAGGACAGGGATTGGTTGAAACGTTAGCATGTCGAGAAAGAAAGAAAAAAAAGATGGGGCGTACTTTTGGTGGTGGGATTTAACAAAAGATAGATTAAGGAGAGATATAATAAAACCGACCCTAGAAAATAGAGAAAAGTATGATTTAAGCGATTACTGGTAAGGAAATGGAAAAAAAAAATATATTTATAGTTCAGTGCTCAAGATACCAGGATCAAGAATAAGGATTTCAACTAGATAAACTAAAGACGGATGACCTCTTTGCATGCCATGTACAAGAACCTAAGTGTATGGTTTGGGAAGACAGAGGAATTTTTAAAAGCAAAAAGAGCATCATGCAAGGCCGTTTCTAAAAGCAAACTTTGATTTGGTCGTTCGACCAGCAGGATTCCCGTCGAGATGTCCGCTAAATTTTCCGTTGAGTGTTTTAGCACTGGACAGGGCAAGAAAGAAATAATATTATTTGTTTATGACTTCCTCTGAAACGACCGGCGATAATCGAGCATCGTTCATCCCACACCCATTCCCGCACTCTACCTTCGAAAGATTTGATCAAGGCCACAACTACCATGGGGAAAAATTCGTCGGTATAGCCGATCTGTGATCCCTCCCGTGTGGTGTGGTGTTGTGTATGGGGAGGAGCGAACAAAACAGTAGGAGGGACGTTGAAAAATCAGACTGACCAATTTACTGGCATTTTTCGTTTTCCAGAAGACAAATATATCCATATCGTGTAATTTGCAAACAGCAGCATCAAAGGGTCGGTTTTATGTGTATAATAGACGTCGAATTGAAGACGGAAAATCGTTGGCTGATCCTGAAGGAACCCCTTAAGCGGTTTCTATTGGGGGACTTAATGGACTTCCTGTTCCGGTAATCTGGTGTTTAAAACGAAATGCACACTAATCTGCAAGTAGGAGACACGTCACAGCTACGAAGAAGAGTTTTGAGTGACTCGAGCAGATAACATAGTACTAATCGCGGACTCGTATTGTGCGCCATTTAAACACCGTCTCTCTCTGATTGATTGCCTCTTGGGAATGGGAGCTGAGAAACAGGAAAAGAACTGACTCTCAAACAATGCTCTATTCTATTTCAGGACGCAGTTTTGTAAATTCTTCATTAGATTTTCTCGTGTTTGATGAATCAATGTGGTAACTGTGAACAGTTAATTGATATGTTTCATGACAATAAAAGAAGACAAGTGATTTAAATGCGCGGAAGATGGCGTCGCTCTGGGCGACACGGCGTGAGGTAATGGTTATCTAGCGAGTCAGGTTGAGCATTATTATTCTGTACTGGATTCGATATTCAAGGTTCCATCGCACTTGTTTCTTTGCACAGAGTTGCCAAATAAGCTATTTAAGAAGTAAATCGATTTCTTTAATTTTTCATCACCTTTAGCTTCTGGAAATTAGCATTTAAATTTATTAATATATATTATTTTATAAATAATTAAAAAGATCTAAACACTGATTTCTTCTTCTTCTATGTGCCGTGTCCCTACAGGACGTTTGCGATTATGGCTCCCCATAATTTTCTCTCCTCGAAATAAAATTTAACTTTTTATCATCTCTCCTAAACCTTGTTCCACCATGCATTTACTTAAGCTCGCCAGGTAGAGTATGCGGTTATATGATTCATTATTTGCAGCCACGAACTGTCATGTGAATATCAAATTTTCCAAGCCCTCTTTCCTAATTATCTGTCCTTGAAATTTCAACTGTCACTTCGTGATGTTAAGTATAAGTGTCCTTTTTTATTTTCATTTTCTCCAAAACTTCATCGTAGCTCACATGTTCGGTCCATGTTATTCTGTGTAGAATCAGAATTCTGTTGCTTCAAGTCTCTTTTTCTTCTGCGAGGAGATTGTCCATCATTCACTGCTATATAGTAGGAGTGATATTATGTCACTGTTCAGTACTCAGGCGGTGGAGTAATGGTTAGCGGTGCGGATTGAGGAATTGGAGAACAGAGTTCGAATTCCAGTCAAATCAATTAGATTCATTTACGTGCTAATACTCTTGGGAAAGGTATGAATCCTCTTCTTCAAAGCTATGGGTAAATAGCAGAACAGACCGGGTTTTGTAGACTTGTATGGCAACTGGTCTACCGCAGAAAGAAGTGGCAATCTACTGCGAGAAAAAAAGCTGCCTCGTCAGTCATGTATGACGCATAGATTATAACTGACTGACTCTTGTCTTTTTTTCTAACGAATTTGTTAAATTATTCTTTTTCTTAATACTTTGCTTAGCTTTTGAAAGGCATCTTTCACAATCTCAATGCGCCTTCGGATTTCAGTGTCTCACATTTAGTCCTCTGTTAAAAATCTTCCCAGATATTTAAAATGTTCTGCTTACAGAAACTAATTACACCGAGAAAGACCTATATCTAGTTTCGAAAGAGTACAATTGGCAACACTAGTCTTGCGTCAAAGTAAGTTTAGTGAAAGATCCATCCACACCGGGCGCTTTATTACCTGTACCAAACCAAAAACATACTATTTTAAGGTCACTTCGGCATCGGCTGATTGCTAGCAAGTTCGTAAGTTCGATCTAAATGGGTATTCCCTGCTTGTAGATGCTCTCGGCATGACGATAAACTACATCCAGCAGCAAGATCGAGAGATCGAAGATTTTCTGGATCGTAGAACCTCTTCTTAATTTCTGTTGACCCAGATCCACTCTTAGCCGGGACGATAGAAACTGTTAGGGTCCCAGCTATGGACAAATAGCGAACCCCAAACATAAACAGTACATTTTTTATAATAAAATGACCAACAATACATTTATTATAGAAAAATAACAATTAATGCAACACTAAAAAAATATAAAAATACATTTTATAGTAAAATTACCAACAATATATTTTATGATCTACACACTATACATCTAAATAATACACATGAATGTATAAAATTATATTCTAATCATCTGTAGTTGAAAGCATAAAATAACGTACAAAATATTTAGATTTTGACATTAAAAAGCCCATAAAGGTGTTGATATGCCGAGAAACAAAATCAACCGACTAACCTGCTTGTAGCCATTTCAACATTTTAAGCTTAGTGCAAAAAGCAACTATTTCGTTTCATTCTTCTGTGAAATATTCTGCTTTAACTATTTTGGCTATTGTTAGGTGAGGAAAATGAAAGATGACGGTGAGCATTGGAAAACTGGAATATTTTAGTTGTTCTTATAATATATTAATCGAATGGATAATTATCAATATTATTGATAATTTATCTGGTGTACCGCTTGATCTACTGACGGTTTCGTTGAACTACAATGAAGTTATCATTATAATCTCTAAATGGTAGTTTAGCTGTACCGTCATTTTTGCTTCTGTTGTTCTGTGCTTTTTAGGCACAATACGTTTAGCTATTCTATGATGACTTCCGTCTAGACCAGAGGTTATCAATTGATGATGTGCTCTTCGTAGGTACGGCGGAAGAGGATAACACGGTCCCATACTTTTACTGTCGAAACAGTTAAATGTAGCCGTCTCTTCTACTTCAATAGCTTCATGCCTGGTACTTCCCGTCTGTGGAACTCCCTTCCTCTTACTAGCTTCCTTGATAGTGTTATAGACAAGCGTATGGTTGCAAGAAAGAAATACGACAACAGTAGAAATAGATTTACGTGGTTTATTTCAACAGGAACGTGTGGGTTTGGGACAGCTACCTTGTGGTAAAGTTCATAAGCCGGCTTTCGGATCTGGTCGATCTCTCATAGTGGTTCACACATGTTGACGGTAGTTGACGCTCCCCTGCTGCTGATCGCTCGGCCTGACTGTCAGGTCTGTTCGCTGGCTACCTGTTGACTGCCTGTTAAACTTCCGTGTGACCCCTTTTATAGCGTTTTTTATGGCTTAACAGGCTCGAGAAACGAAGCGAGTATAATTAGGAGGGAAGCATTTTTATTGGACGAAAAATAGAGCACTTTAAATATTATTTTATTTTTCGACTGGAACACGTGTGTCGGAAACATTTGTAAAGAAAGATAATGGTCATTTTGTGATGGGGCTTTGTCCCGTTCACATCCGGTTCTCGCTCTTGAGTATTTACCTGTAAATCAGCCGAGATATGTCTTATTTTATTTTATAGCAATAGTTATAATCTACAATTATTCAAATGCAATGTCAATCGACATCTCCAGATGCCTTGATCTATTCAATGTCCTTCTCTTCATCCTTTCCTCTTCACGACTCTTTACTCTTGCTCCCAATTTCTGTAACCCTTGCGTACTAGTGGCACTCCCGCCTTGCGTGG